TTGTGTGATGCGAACCACTTCTTATAAATCGAGATTTGAAGAATTGATATGGTACTACTGATGCAGTGCGGGGTGTTTCTCCCTGTATAGCTGTATGAGCTATTATCGTTGCCTTATGGAAGGATATTCTGTCGTTTCAGCTCAGTAGCGGTACTTCTGAGAGCTCTAAGGCTAGGCACAAATTTCTATGATGCTATAAACTATTGTTCCACAGTATTGATATGATGGTAGGACATCTGCCTAAGTGTCGGGGCAGTGAATGAATTGAAGGGAGGTTTACTCAGTGCATAATCTAGAGATTCAGTATTTTATTCCTGGCAGGGGATAGGCGATCGGACTAACAATGGTCAAATATGGGATGATGGAGTAACGAGGCTTGGTTTTTGCGAGCGTGGAGGAATTCTCATTCGTGATGAGGTGTCATTGTCCTTGTTGAATGTACTAAGTTTGTCGGTGTTATGATCTTCTACAATTTGCCTTTGGAGCAGGATATTGCAAGTCAGAATCGAAGAAGCAACGGTCAGAGATCGCGGGGTACGGTGGTTCAGGATTGAGTCGGTGTTTCTGATGTCGATGGCTCGAGAAAGATGATATTCGGAAAGGTTTAAAGTTCGTAGCAATTTTTGGGTTCAAGTGCTACAAAGATAGATTTTATTCAAGGCAACAATTGAGAAGCAAAGTATGAGGAAGGACATGTGAGGAGTGTCAGACGGTGTTTAAAACTTCTAGAAGGACAGGTATAAGAAGCACAGGTCGAGTAGTTGATTAAAGAAGCAAGTTTTCCCAAAGTGGGAGAGTGACGGAGTTGCATATGGGCTTGGTGGTAGGATGACTACGCACCTTAAGAAGAGTTGGAATGATTTGGGAATTTTAGTGATCTGTTGATTGAGGTCTACAGATTTAATTTTGAGCATGGGCTATTATGTGGCAGGAGATTGGATATAACGGGAAGGAGCTATTGGAAAAGAAGAAGGATACAACATAACTTTGAATTGGAAGGATGTTGCCGCAAATTTAATTGATATCCACGAGGGGTGAATGGACTTGTGCAACTAGAGAGTCAGCTCGGACTCAGGAGGGTTATTCCCTGTGAGCAGGTTAGCGGTCGCACAGTTGGTGAAGCTTCTGCGAAGAATTCTATTGGTTATGCAGCAAAGGGATCGGTCGTGCGTATGTGGTTGATGATTCAGAGTATAAAAAGGGGTTTTACAGTAGGATTCCGAGAATTTTAGCGGTTGATTGCACAAGTTTACGTCAATAAGAGATAAATAATCCTGGTGAATTTCAGAGTTGTGTAATAGTGGCTTCAATCTAAGTGGCTTCATAAAATCAGATTGCACTGATCCTAAATCCAATAATCTCGTCTCACCTAGTACGAGCTACTCAGACAATAAGCCACCCCGAACATGATACAAAGTCTCATATGATGCCACACTGCGCCAATAGGCTACAAATTCGAATGTGGTACGAAAGAAAAATGAACTATGAAAAAGGAAATCTAATTACCCCGCTCGCGAATTATACCTGGGACGCGGGCAACATACTAAACAAACACCCCACTCGCGAATCATACATGCGACTCGGGCCCACAACTAATATGAGCTTCTCCCCAAAAAAATAGGAAACGAAACACATAAAAATAGATATAGGGAACTGTACTCAACATCACACTGTTGCGGTGCACAACCTGATCCAAATAACATAACACTCACCTAAGGAGATGCACATCGAGCTAGATTGCTCATTACAACCAAAATACCGAATATCGGTCACAAGCACGCTAAGTGCATAATACCATCCTTGAGGGAACATATAGCGCTATAAGCTACAAAACTCAAGCACAACTAAGGTGCGATATACAATCTAAATCTCAAGAGCCATTTTGCTCATATAACATTATTTCAACGCGGATCCTCAACACATAGGCACTTTCTCAAGCTGCCTCACAACCCACACGGCGCAATGTATCATTACACAAAATAGCTGACAACGAAATAACACCCCGACTACTCTTCTAAAAGGAGCGCTTTGTTGAAATGAACATATCTGGCCTGATATAGAGCCCATATTCACATTAAATCCATCCACAGACCTCAAGTCGATTTCTGATTGCACCAAGTAGGCTAATGACCTTTCATGGGTCCATAATAACCCCCTTTAATGTAACACACAAGATCAATAGTCATAACCGGAGAAATCCTCCATAGTCCACAACTCAATAAACCGAGTGCCTTCCAGGCATAGACTCTCAAATTAATGATACTATCACAATCTTCATACTTGGTTTGAATTCTTCAACCAATCGAGTGGCTACATGCCACACTTATACAACCTTCCCGTGGGCATACTCCCACAACCTTCCGTAACGGATAACAGGTCTGTACACCCAAACCATCGGCCGCACTAACACTGAAAAGCGATCACAAATCCTTAACCAGGATGCAAAGCCCTTTTTTCACAAAACACCGATCTCAGGTGACGCCAAAGACAATACCAACTATCCTTAAACATCAAAACTCCTTACCTGCTCATCCGAGCTCGTGACATCCTTGCCAATACCATACTGCAACCTTGACCCTCACTTAAAATTACATGCTACTCACTGCATCCAACATGCCCATATACGTTAGAACGCGATTTTCATCATAACCACGGGACCACTAATAGATTAACACGTTGTCATATAAAACTTTTCACTTAACTCACTTCAGAGAACCATAGCCACCCACAGGTGTATTCTCATAACCGTAGAATATGCAAATCTCTAAGTAATGGTCTAGGCCACCATACCCCTTTCGGGTTCCGCCTACACATAACATGCTATAACAGTAGAATACTTTCTGAATAGCACCAATTATGACAACTGACATGTCTCACCCGTACCATCCAAATCACTTGTATAACTTAATCGCACTATGGGAACTAGTCAATGCCATCTTCATGTCAACTCAATCATGGCTAACCAATCTACTTCTTCTAAATTAACCTCAAATGCCTTGGGAATAATAGTTCCATTCAACACATAGCGAACTCAATCCGTACTCATCCCGAGTGACCATGAATCACGAGACCACGCTGCCTCAAATCCCACGAACCATTTCATACCTCCCAATTGCTACACTACAGGTCAAAACATCCTAGAACATTCTGGGCACCTTCTCATAAGCTGCTACAAAGCTTGATTCTTAACTGTACCTATAGGCTCGAAATCATTAAGCATCACACTTTACCCATTTGAATCCACTAGGACCGTCGTTGAAAGCCACCTGTTCTGACTGGGCCGCGAATATAATCAACTCCATGATTTTTCTAGCTCATGCATACCCTCTCGACGAAGCACCCGGTAGAATCACTTCCCTTGAAACCCGCATCTATACAAGGCATAAATTCTGACTCCTTCCCCAAGTCTGAACATGAGCCAATAAGGCCAACCATGGCATAACTTTTAACAATTCCTTTGCTCAAATTACCACTTATGTTCTTTTCCCCATCAGTATGCTAACAACCAGAAACCTCGCAAGTAGTAAACCATGCAACCCAATCATAGGCGATGGGACTCTATATTAAGGAGCAAAGACCATTATTCGGTTCAGAACGAGGCGGTGGTTATTGTCAGCAGTATAGACCCAATAATTGTTGATTCGGTAGTTGGTTATGAATTTCTACACATCTCTTCCTCGTGGCGGTATTGTAAGAGTTAGAGCATGACTTATTATATATAATTAGGCGCATTAGGGGCATCAGATTCGGGGGATTTCGACTAATTTGATCAGAGAATGTTATTGTGGTCCTTGAGTAAAGTGCAAAGTATGAATTCAGCTAAGGTATGCAGTCATGTTTTGGTGTTGTGTGTAGTTATTGATACGGTGAGCGTATGTTGGAAACAGGCCTGTTCCGGACGATGTAATTGGGCCCTAAGGCTTATTTGCTTAAGTGAAAAAGGATATCTTCAGATTAGTTAGGCTAGGGTGCCTAGCTGAGTTGTGGTAGCACGGGTAGGTGCTCGAGGCATTAAACAATGATTTAGGACAACTCCAGTGCAGTTCTTAGCACGTTCGAGGACGAACGTATGTTTAAGTGGGAGAGAATGTAATGACCCGACCGGTCGTTTTGAGCTCTAGCGTGTCGTTCAGCAGTTTGAGGCCATGAGCAGCTTCATTTCAGGTAATATGAGTTGAACGCATGGTCGGAATTGAATTCGGAAAGTTCGGAGTTGATTCAGAAAGAGAATTTTTATTTCAGAAGTTTTAAGTTATAAGAATTAACTAGGGTTGGATTTTTAAGTAAACAACCTCAGAATCAGGATCTGAAGGTTCCAGCGGGTTCGTACGATGATTTCGGAATTGGGCGTATGCGCTGATCAGGTTTTGGATGACCCGGGAGCATTTTGGCGCCTATTGTGGAAGTTAGCATTTTGGAAGAAATTTCATAAGTTTGGCTTGAAGTGCATTTCAGTGTTATCGATGTCCGTTTGGGATTCCGAGTCTGGGAGTAGCTCCGTATGGTAATTCTGGAGTTGGGAGCGCGATCGGAAGTAAATTTGGAGGTACGTAGGTCATTTTTGAGTTATTTGGCTAAAGATAGAAAATTGAAGGTTTTTGAAAAATTTGACCGGAAGTGGACTTTTTGATATCAGGGTCGGAATCTGATTCCGGAAATTTGAGTAGGTTCGTAATGTCGAATATGACTTGCGTGCAAAATTTGAGGTCAATCGGACGTGAGGTTTAACATCGAAAGTAGAAGTTTGATATTCTAAAGTTCATAAAGTTTGGATTGGAGGTCGATTCGTGGTTTTAGCATCGTTTGATGTGATTTGAGGCCTCGAGCAAGTCCGTAATGTGTTTTGGGACTTGTTGGTATAATTGGTTGGGGTTCTGAGGGCCTCGGGTCTATTCCGGGTGGTTAACGGATCGAAAATAGAATTTTTGGAAGGTCGAACTTGCTGGTTGCTGTCATAACCGCACCTACGAGAATTGGGCCGCAGGTGCGGAGCCGCAGAAATGGCCAGAAGAGCTGCAGATGCGGTTTTTGGACTGGAAGTGAAGGGACCGCAGATGCGTTCGTTTTTCCGCAGATGCGGGACCACACCTGCGGTGGAGAACAGCAGAAGCGGAAAAAGGGCAGCCTGGGAAGGACCGCATATGCAGTAGTGGGGCCGCACCTGCGGAACCGCAGAAGCGGTCGAGGGACCGCAGGTGCGGAAAGTGATGGAGGCAGAGAGGTGTTTTAAAAATCGGGATTTGGCCATTTTCTCTCATATTTTCTTGGCTTGGGCAATTTTTGGGAGAGCTTCAAGTGGGATTTTTTATCATCAACAATAAGGTAAGCTAATCCCATCCATCTTGAGTTAAATACATCGATTATGTATGGATTTTAGCACGTAAATTGGTAGAAAATTGGGGTTTTGGTAGAAAGACCTAGAAATTTATATTCTTGGAATTTGACCACGATTTTGGGTATGGAATTTAGAGAAAATAATATATTTGAGTTCGTGAGGATATGGGTAAACTTATTCTTCGAAAATTTTGGAAATCCGGGCACGTGGGCCCGAGGGCGCTTTCGTCAACTTTTCGATCAGGGTTAGGATAAATTGGATTATAATGAATAATTGAGTATATATTAATGGATTGGTATCATTATTGGCTAGCTTTGGAGCTTTGTTCATCGGTTCGAGTCTTCGGAAGAACGTGGAATGCCAGTTATGGATCTTCGGAGCGAGGTGAGTCTCGCTTCTAACATTGTAAGAGGGAATTGTCCCCATAGGTGAGTTAATTGGTTATGTGCTTCTATTTGTGGGGGGCTACGTACGCACGACGTGACGAGAGTCTGTGCGTAGCTGCTATTATGCTATTGTCCGGGTAGTCTAGGACCCAAAAGCATGCTATACTTGGATTAATTGTAAACTTATTGACAGCTCAAATTGCTTAAATCACATCGAATCAGTAAATGAATATCAAAAAGGATTAAACTTCTTTTTCTTAAATTGTTAAAAGAGAAGTGGCTTTTATTTGGGTAATTTCTTAATTAGCTATCTGAGCATGTTTTCCTATGTGTACCTGCGTCACATTTATGATTTGCTAGCAGGGTGATTGTTTATTTTATGTTGACCGCGTCAGATGGATAGTTTGCGAGCGGGTAATAGATGCATCTATGGTTTGCGTCATTCTACCCTCGGCAGTGCACAGTTTATTTTCTGTTGGATCGGGTCGTACGCCTCAGCATGATTTGCGCATGCTTGTATTGCTTGCCTTGAGATATACTGATACTAATATTTTCTCTCCCCGACTTGAGATAGTTGAAGACTAATGGATTATGAATCCGGAGACCTTCAGCATAAAAAGGAACTTTTACCTGTTCGTGATTTATTTGAAATTTTCGTCATTCTTAATAAATCCATGAATATTCGCATTAATAATATATTATTATTAGACCTCTAGTAAGTATCAAAGTCGAACATCTCGTCTCTACTTCTTCGAGATTAGACGAGATACTCATTGAGTACACGTTGTTTTCGTACTCATACTATACTTCTGTGCATTTTTGTTGCACAAGCACATGCATCTCTAGTGGCCTACTGGGTATAGCAGCATGGTTGATACGGAGACTTGGGTGAGTTGCAGTTCTCGAGGCGACCCGCAGCCAGCAGAGTCTCCTTCAGTTTTCTGTAATTATTTTCTGTCCAATATTATATTCCGGACAGTTATTGTATTTTATTTCCTTCTTAGTAAATACTCATGCACTTGTGATACCGGGTTCTGGGATGGTTTTAAAATATTTTTGTATTGATTGCTTATCATTTAATTTGAATTGAAGTGGTTATCTTGTTATTTATAAAATTGAAAGAAAACCTTAGTTTTCAAGATTGTTAAAATGAGAACTTCACCAAGTGATTTGGTTGGCTTGTCTGACAGCAATGTCCAACGCCATCACGATCCGTAATGGATTTTGGGTTGTGACAGACGCAATCTATATTAAGACCTAAGCAAATGGAAGGACGCAATCTATGCAAATGCAAAGGAAAGACCTACGCTATTAAGTGAATTTCATTCTTTAATGGAAGAACATAATCTATATTAAGCAAACCAATATACTATAACTATAGGTATCTTTAATTAAATTTGTGTATAATTCAATTATGGTGGATATCCTTTTTTGAGAAAGAATCAATTAAAATTTCGTTTTGTATCTTACACATTAATTTTAAGTTGAAATAATAATTCGATATTTAGTACAAACTTTGTATATGACTTTATTTGCGAACAATATATATTAATATATATGTATCATATACATTACTATAGGTATCTTTAATTGAATTTTGTGTGTAACTCAGCTATGGTAGTTACTCTATTTTAAGAAAGAAATAATTAAATAAATATTTTTATAGACTAAAAATTTTAAGTAAGAATTAATAATTAAACTAAAAATGTTCTCTTTTTAATCACCAAAGTAGAATTTTTTGGACGTACACGAAAAAAGACGCAATTTTCATTAAGCAAACCAATTTATTATAATTATTGGTATCTTTAAATAAATTTTTGTATAATTCAGTTATGGTAGGTATCCTTTTTTGAGCAAGAATCAATTAACTTTCGTTGAAAATCTTACACATTAATTTTAAGTTGAAATAATAATTCTTTATTTAGTACAAGTTTTGTATCTAACCTTATTTGTGAACAATATATATTATTATAGGTATCTTTAATTAAATTTTGTGTATAATACAGTTATGGTAGGTATTCCTTTTTAAGAAAAAAATAATTAAATAAACGTTTGTATCTTACATCTATATTATACTAAAGAAAATAGAATTAAAAAATGAACAAGAGGACAAAGGAAAAAGACAAGACAAAATTAAGGCTCGGTGGTTAACAAATTTTTATTAACCACAAAAAAAAACGTTGAAAATCAAAAAAAGCCAAAAGCTAAAAAATTAAGATCCGTATCATTTCTTGCGCACTTACACATATAAATTGATTTAAACATACCTTTTTTAAATATCAGGATTTCAGATACTTAAAAATAATTTATTACGATAGTCTTTCCTTAAAAATCTTTATTTAAGAATTTTTTGCTTAGGTTTGACTTCTCTACATTGCTTAAGGTTTAACTTCCACAAAAACTTCTGCAAAGTATGGCTCCAAACTATAACTATATCAGCCAAATATCAATGTCCAAAATGAGTTAGAATTTGAAGGTTCGTGTTGTTAGATTGTGGCACGTTCCAGGCCGCGAGAAACCAAAAAATTCTAATTCAATTGAATTAATTATTCAAGTGAAAAGGTGCATACTCTTTTACATGTTATTTTTTTCGAGTTGTGCTGTATTTTCTTCAACTTATACGCCTTACTAACTTAAATTTATTTTTAAATTTTTGTTTTAGGGAGATCGAATTCATGCAACTATTGGAAGAGCTGTTTTGCGTATTTTCAAAATAAAAATACATGAAATGAAGTTGTATGTTATGAAAAACTTTATGGTTGGACCAAACAATCTGAAAATTAAGACCAACAAGCATAAATTGAAACTGGCATTTTCTCATAGGGCAAGTGCGGATGAAATTAGTGATCCACGGTTTAGTTTGAATATCTTCAACTTTAAGCCTTATGAGCATCCCACAAATCAACTTGAGGTTGATGAGAATGAACTATTCGGTAATTGTTTTACCTTTCGCTATTTTTTGTTGAATATTTTATCACGTTATTTATAACTATTTATTTAAATGTGGCAGATGTCATAGGAGAAGTTATTGGTCATGGTACCGTAGAATTATACAATCAAGGTGGTAAAACAAGTACCTTTATGAACTTGGAGCTTGAGGATCATGAGTACGCTTGCAACCATGAATTGAATTAGTTATAGATTCAATTACTATTATTTTCTCATTATTAATTTGTGTATTTTACATATAGGAGGAACAATATTTCAGCAGCATTGTGGGGAGAATTTGTAGATGAAATCTTGCCCCACTTGGATGGATCACCCAATCAACCTGTCATAGTGGTTATACAGCTCATAAAAGCTCACATCAAACAAATTGTATAGTATCATAAAAGCTCATAACAAACAAATTGTATAGTATCATTATTTTTTATGGAACATTTATTCGGAGATGGAATGAAAGTTTACTGGAGTCTTAAAATGTTTTTAATGTTTGATTGTAAAGATGGTATTAATACTAACATATTAAACTTTATGGTGTAGATCGTTCTTTCTAATTATCCGCGCATTGCGCGGGTACTAATACTAGTTGCTCTTATTAAGTAACTATTTTCTATATTGAAAGGTTCAATTTTGGATTAGAGAAACCATGAAAAGTTCATCTGGTCGAAAGAGGAAGAGGAGAGTTTTATAAAATAATAATTGGTCCAAGGGTTTTCGGGAGAGAGATGTGTTTAGGAGTAAAAGTTTATTTCGGGCGGGTTTATCTTTGATGGATCACATTGGGTTTATTTTTGTTTGGGTGATAACTATTTTTAGTGGCCAACAATATAAAAAGTCCGTATGGACTGTCAAATTAGCTTTTTCCATCGAAAATATTAAGAAATTCGGTTGAGTGATCATTAGTGTGCAATAGTGATAGTTGAATGACTTTCCTCGTTATCAATAAAAGAAAATTGACTTTGTTCTATAATTTCGAATAGTTTAGTGATCAATTGAGTAATAGACTCACCAAATTATCAAAAACTTGTCTAATTAGCAAAGATTAACATCACCATATAACATTGAAAATTATCTAAGAACCTTAGAAACAATGAAAATTAGCTCGATGATCATGAATAAAATTTGCCACAGGGGCTGTGAGATCATGAATAAAATTTGCCACAAGGTGCTGAAAGGGGCTCTGAATTATTTTGATTAATTAATGGTAGGTCAACAACAATTATTGCTTAATTAATTAATATGTATTGAGCTCAGTCAGTTACTTTTGCTGAAACAATGTATGTGTATTAATAAAATTATTAAATATATACAAATATTAAATTTAAGACTCCGTTATTACCATTTGAAATCGTCATTCTAAAATTCAGAACTCATAAAGTTGAAATCTTAGCTCCGCATCTGATACTTGTTGAACTTGTGAATGTGCTTTTAGCCTTCAAAGTCAATGGTTGCATTAGTTAATGTGCAAGTAGTACTGTTACAGCTCAAGCCTATCATTCTAACTAACAGACAAATACAATGTGTCACCCTGAACAATTTCTGGAACAAATAAGAGAGGATGATGATGAAGATGAAATATTACATACAATGAAGAATATTTCAGCAGTATTCAGTCGACAAATATATTAAACTTGAAACGCAGAGACTGAGACATTAATAGATTTAGATTAGGTGAATCTTCCCGTAGAGGCAAAGACAACATCTTCCAAGTTCTTGTATAGAGATTTGCATCAACGATATACAAATTCTATTGCATTACTGCAGCGTCTCTGTACTTATTTTGCTTATAAGTATGACATGTAGCCCATCGTGGATGGAAATAAGAGAGCATATGGCATAAACTGATGAGGCACATTTGAACTGAAAATTCAGGTTTACATAGGAAACTAATGATTATTCTGCAAGAGAGGTTTTTAAGGCCTCGAAACACAGAATTTATTTCTAAAACAAGTGATGACGCTGCTCCCTTACCTTCTTTTTTCTTACCATCCCAGTGGAACAAACTTACTGATCCAATTCCTGTGGAGTTAGTAAAAGAAGTTAGATGACTGAGGCTAATCTGGTTTGCCTTCCAAATATGCTGCCTTTCCTGATGCTAAACAATGCCTATTTAATGTAGTCGTCCTTTATCCGGGCTTTCCTAGAAGCAATAAGTGATCAAATGTTCGAGATGCCATATTTAAAAAACGAGCCTTCAGCTTCCAACGAAATCACATCCTTGATGTCTGTCACATAGTAATGACACTCACCTAGTTTTGCAATTGCCTGTTTCAAGGTATATATAACACATAGGTATATAGAGTCCATTACTCAAATGGTCACTCAACTATCCCAAATTATCTCCTAAAGTTACTTTACTTTCGTTTGTAACAACAAAGTCATTGAACTATGTCTATTGTACTCAGAAGGTCACTCAACTAGATTTTCCAAATTTTGGATTGCCAAATACCTATTTTACCCTCTAAATTATAAACATTTATCTTCTTTTTATTTTTTAAAACTTTTTAATATTATGATTTTCCCTTTTTAATTTATATTATCGACTTATCTATAGAATAAATAAATATTATCTATAAATTAAAAAAATAAAAAGTATTTAAGCATGTGTAATGCTTAGTAAAAAAAAGTTAATTAGAATAATTTGTTAGTAATAATAATTTTAGTATTAACAACAAAACTTCAAAAATTTATTTACACAATTCAGAATGAAAGAAAATAAAGGTTGTAAAATATATATTCCATGCACGTAATACAAAAATAATTATTTAAATAAAGATATTTTTATAATATACATTATATATTCTTGAAAATTATGCTCAATTATATTATTATGTTTCTATCAACTTTCCGACGACAAAAAGTTATGTCACCAGAAAGTAGGGGGACTATCTGTATAGAGTAAAATATACTATGTTAAATCGTGCATGGAATATATATAATATAATTGAGCAAAATTTTCAAGAATATATATATATATATATATATATATATCNTATATGTATGTATATTATAAAAATACTTTTATTTAAATAATTATTTTTGCATTACATGAATCGAATATATATTTTACAACCTTTATTTTCTTTCATATTGTGTAAATAAATTTTTAAATTTTTGTTGTTAATACTAAAATTATTATTACGAACAAATTATTCTAATTAATTTTACTATGCTCATTATTTTGTTATTCCAACATTATAGATTATAGATGCTTAAATACTTTTTATTTTTTTAATTTATAAATAATATTTATTTATTCTATAGNTTATAGATAATATTTATTTATTCTATAGGTAAGTCCATAATATAAATTAAAAAGGGAAAATCATAATATTGAAAAGTTAAAAAAATAAAAGAAGATAAATATTTATAATTTAGAGGGTAAAATAGGTATTTGATAATCCAAAATTTGAAAAATTTAGTTGAGTGATCTTTTGAGTGCAATAGGCATAGTTCAATGACTTTGTTGTTATAAACGAAAGAAAAGTGACTTTCGGAGATAATTTGAGAAAGTTGAGTGACCATTTGAGTAATTGACTCTAGGTATATATGAAGAACAATCACAAGATAATCAAATCAAAGACAGATTTCCTCTAAATAATCATTTGGTATCAGGAATTAGGGCCTAAATCAAAGGCCGTGCGCCTATCAAAACCTTTGATTATAGGCTGGATACCCCACATCGTCATAGAAGGTGTAAGATGAAGGGATTATAGAAATTGAAGGGAAAACAACCACCAAACTACAATGCAAAAAAAGAAATCAAAGTGGAATACCATATGATATTGTTCTACAATCACTAGAAACATACTAAAAAGAGGGTACGCGTCTCAATCAATCAAAACAGACTTAGCAATCAGTAGTAATGTTACAGTATAAGGAGATTGGGATTTTTCGCCAGCTACATAATAGACCACAACAATTTGCTAAGAAAGAACTCTGTCCACTCTGTCTGTGCTTTTGCTGCAGTTGCCTAAGCACATTGTGACTCACAGCTTCTGGATATTTCCAAGACCATCCTGTATTGAACATATTGTTTGCACATTAGATGCACATAGAGACACTAAAACATCACATTGGAGTTTGTTTCTACTTACCTCAATAATGATGAGGTCAATACGGTCGCGTCCTTCATTCTCTTCAACTTCTTTTTTAATTCTCGCAGCTGAAGCCACCAGATATTCATTGCGGCAAAAGGGGGTAAATATCAACTTAATCTGTTTCAGTGTTGGAATATCTGCAAAGCTAAGGGGGATCTCCTCGAGAAACCAGGGCTTTTTTATAACAAGTGTTTCAAGCTGGGGAAAAGATTCCTCTGACGCATCCCACCTTGAGATACCTAAGTTCACAAGTTTCAACTCCCTAAGTTTAAGGAACGTGATATCTCCAAGGCACCACTCTCCGTAATGATTAAAATCGGGATCCCTTAATTCGAGATACTCCAGACTTTGTAGTCCCGCAATGGAGAAAATCATGCTTTCTATCCGAGTCCCCCCCAGTAGCAATTTCTTTATATATGAAGGCAAGTGTAACTTGGGTACAACAGGGAACGAATGAAAGAAAAGGCGAAGTATTTGAAGCTGGGTAAGACTCTAATTTGAAACAAATCTTTTCCTCAGAATAATTTCTCAAAAAAAAAAGATTTCAAGTTCTTGAAGATTAGGACACCTTTGTACTAAAACATTCAAGCAATTAGCATCGAGGTTTAATTCTTTTTTTTTTTTGGCAATCCGCTAGGCAAGCGCCTAGGGCTAGTTTTTTATTAATAAAAGAAA